CAGTAACGTGCTTTTGTCTGGAAAAAATGTAGATGAGGTAAAGTAAGAAAAACATGGGGCTTTCTATTGCAATTGACCAATTTACCATTCTGTATTTTTTTTATTTGTTATATATAACATCTGAAAACAAATCAATTGACCCGGCACAATCAAATGAATGCTGCTCACTTATAAAACCAAATCATTATGAGGTGGTATATCATTCTGAAAAACTTGTTTTAAGATAGACAAAGATCTGTAATCTCTTACCTGCCAGCTGATCCGTGAAGACAGATTCTCCACAATGAGTCTGTGGTCAGTCCGCACAGGAGGGCCATACCTGCACAAAAAAGCTAATTAATTAAAATGAAATATAAAATGAGCCATTAATACTCATTTTCTGTGAAAAGGACATGTTTCACAAGAAAAGCCTCAGTATTAATTCACCAATAAGTCCTCTCACAGCACAGAAGTTCCACTTCATCTTAGATGCTGTTGTATTTACTCTATCAGCTGAAAAGCTGTGTCAATATTTAAATGGGATTCAGAGCTGGAACAGCAGCCTTCTATTTGCCACCACCACACAAAAAATAATGACTTTATATCAGTCAGCTGCTTAATAGATTAAAGTCAAATATTTTCTGCCACATATATGCAATCATATTTTAACACATGCACAAGTCACTCTGACCTGTATACAGAGGTTATATGTTAAGCAAATATTTTCCATCACTGACAGAATTTCTTTTAACAATGATAGAAAAATCTCAAGAGCATCCATCATTTTGATAGCTAAAAAAAAAATAGAGGGCAATTTACCCTAATTTGACTTGTAGTAAGGCTACTAAAAACCCCAATAATTGCTATGGTGTTGATAAACGAGATAACAAAAGAGGAGCTGATGCGGTGGATGAAGGACAAGTGGCAGTTCTATAACTGACCCAAGATTTCACCTGACTGAACATCTTTAGAGTCTGAAATCTTATAACTATGATGGGATACAACACCTGTAATTGTGGCTTTATGCTACTGGAAAGTTGACAAAAACTCTGAGTAGAAGCTTTATCCAACTAGTTAGCTAAGGTTTCAGCAAGCCATTTACAATTCAATGTACCCCGCTGAAGCGTCCCATCCCAGGGCCCCACCTCTTCCTCTTCTGGAGCGAGCATGCTCGATAGTGACCCTGAAAGGGAGAATAAGAAATTCTTTATACAATACAGTCACATGAGCAGCAAATGATGTTACCAGCGTGTTTAAGAAGAAACTGTAGATTGTCGATTGTTTGATTTACAGTCATGATCATTATTCTTTGAAAGCCGATTTAAATAGAGGCATGAACTCTCTCCTGCCTTACAGGAAACGGAAAGACTAGAGATGTCATATGAAGACAACTGCTGGAACTGAGCACTGGCAATGAAATGAATGACGAGATGGAAAACAGGTTTCAGGCCCTGAAAACACCTGTGGGTGATTTTACTGCAATACAGGCTCACTCAGAGTTGCAAGCCCTGGATTTAACCAACGCTATGTGGATAAAATCTCAACTACTCAATTACAACACAAATTCCCTGGCAAATTGTGTGAATGGACACACCAAACAGTGTGAACTGTTATTGCTTTCTTTGGCTTTGCCATAGTCAAAATGGCAGATCTGCTACAAGCAGTCAGCAACATCCTGACTTATTGTTATACCTGTCTAAAATGTTGCTGCTTGTGTTGAGAGACTTTTGAGTCACGTGTGATGCTGCTGCAACTTGTCATCACTTTAAGCAGACCTGAAGCCTCAGTGATTGCACTACACTGCAAAAACAAAAAAAACCCAGATCCCTACAAAATATGATACTGCAAGATAATAGCAGTAGAATTATTGTAACTTTAAATCTGTTTAATTCTGTCACTGCAAGACAAGGAAGCAGGACACAGGATGACACACCCTCCTTTTTAAACAGCCACTCTGTGCTCTATGAGCTTATCATGCTGTGATGTTATTAACACACTGCTACTCTTTGTGGTTACAATCATTTCATCTGTGTGAAAATGCTAGTTAGGGGCTCAGAAGAAAAAGAAATCACCTTTCTCTGCACAGTTCTTTGCCATTCAACTCATACACAGCATCATCTGCATCTCTGGGATCATCAAATTCCTGAAAGGAGGAGAAACAAAAGGCAACTTTGAAGATGTGAAAAAGAAAAGCCATAATTCACACAAAGTGGTTTGTGACACTAACCACAAAGCCAAATCCATTCTTCAAGTTTATTTCCCGGATCCTTCCATATCCCTTAAAGAACTTCTCCACATCCCTCTCTCTGGCATGTGGGCTCAAACGGCCAATGAAGACACGACAGCCACTCATGTTGTTGCCTCCTGAAATCACTAAACACAAGATTTGTTAAACATTTAACCAGAGTGGAGGGAAAGTGAACTAAAGATAGCTTAATATTTTACTGTTGGTATGCTGACTGCACATGGCCATTAGTTAGTTTTTAACACACCACACTATGAAAGCTCACAATCCAAAATTAATTAGTAAAAAATTACTAATGATAAATAAAGTCAAGATGACAGTTTCTGTGTTCATGGCTTTTGAAGTCAGTCAGCATCACCACTAACCAGAAAAATACAACATTTTACTAATTGAAATAGTTTTGTAAGTCTTGTGTAGCATTTTATGGGATAGGTAGATCGCTGAAACAAAGGCAACCTCAATTATCAGCACGACATTTAATACAATAAAAATTGTACCTTTGTGGTAAAAAAAAAAAAAAAAAAGATATTTCAAAGGGCAAACTACAATTTAATGAGTATGGGTATTAACAAGGACCTGCGATAACTAAACTGATCACTGGACTTTTGCTCAGCACCTTCCTGAATATTTACCACTTTGACAAATAGGAAACTGAATGACTGCACATTAAGCCAGGACTGCAGTGAAAACCTGAGCAGGATCAAACCCACAGGATAATCCAGTTTTGGTCAAACTAGTATCAATATAGTTGTAAACTTTTGAGTTGCATACACAAAAACCTGAAGATCTCACAAAACGATGGAATCTCACTAAATACGTTTACAACTAGTGCAGAAAAACCAATAAAATGACTCCAATTGCACAGGTTTTTTTTTTTTTTTAAATAATCGCTTAAGTCATTTTTCATCTAAATGCGCCAAATACTTCACAGCTCTAGCTTCTTAAATGTGAGAGGATTAAAGTTTGGACAATTATTTTATCAAAACAAGCACAGTGAATTTTGGTGGCATTTCCCATTATTTCCTGAATTTTGACAAACCACATAATTTTTAGATTGAGAAAATAACCAAATTAAAATGAGATTACACATTTTGTGGCTGTAAGTTATAACTGACATTACACCATATTCTGGTGTTTTATTGCTAAACCGTCGCAAACGTATATAAAATAGCTGTAAATTATCTTCAACCCAACCAGTAAAACGCTGCTTACACATCAATCCATCAGTAATAACAACCTGATCATATTAAGACTATTTTACTTAACATTTCAATTCAGGATTTCTAACTGTAATGAAGTGTTTCTACACTGTGGTATACGTGCTTGAACTTAAGTAGCTATAGGATCTGAATACTATCAGTCATCAGTTGGGCCCAGTCTGCTATCTTAGTTCTTCTTTTACGAATGAGAACACTGCAATTACGTTACTAAATTAATGACTCAACTTCACAATTTATACCTTTAATTAAAAACATAGCCGATAGAAATGAAGACAAGACAGCTACCACAGGTTATAACGTTATAAGCTATAACATTAAGCTAAAGTAGACCATTTTACAGCTCGCCTCGAGGTCGGTTTCTGTTAGCTAGCCTTAAATCGAGCTAGTTGCTAACTACCGTTAGCTACGAATACATATTTCGCCGTTATTCGACGAAACCACTGTTAACTGACTATTTTCAACAATTGAAAGGTTAATACGGATATCTAACATCAATTCAGCCACATTCTCACCCCTTATTTACCTCAAGTAGAATGCAACGTAGTTGTTTATGCCGCTGACTCACTACAACTTGATGTAGGTCACCTACTCGACTGCAACAAAATGGCGAACGAGTCCAAAGAGCAGGGACCAGGAAATGCTACTGCTTTCACGTTGCCAGGTGGGGGTTGGGCACGAAATGACCCAGTTAATGTTTAACTTGATTCAAACTGACGACTTTGCTCCTGTGTTGTATTAAAGCATGTTTGTAATGATATATTACAGCGAAATAAACTTAGGTTGACTACAAAAATGTGTTCTGCTTGGAAAAATAAGACAAGTTGGGTTTGAATCTTCAAAAGGGGGCTCAGGACGGATTTGGCAACCCAGTTCAAAATTTATTAAGCAAGCATTCTGAACAGCATAGGTAGAAAAATAAAAGCCTTGTTTTGCTCTCCACAAAAGTATTTGGCCCCCTGACATAAGCTGTTAAATGTTTTCAATTTTTACATGCTTTTCCACAAATCTACTATAAAGAGAAATGTAAAAACCTACAAGGCTCACATAAATCCCAATAAATATCACGATTAAACATTTACTATATTCTACTCTCTAGTCTTGTAAAAGAGAAAACTATGGATAGATTACTGAATGGGCCTACTGGGCACAGGCCCCAGAGCCCAAGGAGTCAGGGAACCCCTAGACAGCAGAACCATGAAGAAATAACCCTTCTGGGGAGGTGACAGTGGTGAAGTGGGTAGAGCACTCATCTCCCAACCAGAAGGTTGAAGGTTTGAATCTCGGTGCCTGCAGTCCACATGTCGAAGTGTCCTTGGGCAAGACACTGAACCCCCTGTTGCCCCCGATGGTTAGAACTGTCGGTTGAGTTGGCGCCACAGACGGCTGCCTTGGTTCTGTACCAGAAACAAATTCCTTGTGTGTAACCTAATTGGCCAATAAAGATGATTATCCTTATCCTTCTGCGGAAAAGTCAATCAAATGACTATAAAAAGCCATAAATGGGAAAAAGTAGATTAAAAACATTCCAAGCTACAAAAATAGACACAAAACAACTAAAAAGATATTCAAAACCATAAAAATAGACAAAACAAGTAGAAATAGGTGCTAAATAGCTGCAAACAAATGCAAAACAACAACAAGGGGACACAAACAACCACTATTGCCATAATGCAGTCTTACACATTGATTTGCAGTGTTGCTGACAGTAGACTCATACACCTGGAGATACAGTAATAGCCATGGTAACATTATTGCAAAATGTCTCACAGTTTTAGTTGATAACAAAAAAATGTCTCACACTACAAATCATCATATTAGTCACAAACAACTAAAGAAGCACAACATTTCTGTTATTTCATCTTTTTAATCTATTGCAATATCATCATTCTTAAAATTGTCTTGGGTTAGGAAAAGAAATACAAGGTTGAGGTTGACACATTACAATAAACAAACCAAAACAAAAAATACCTGTCTTTTCGGCTCTGTAGAAAGTGCCAAAGACAATTTTGTATGGAATACTGATCACTATTACAGCCTGTCAGCTAAAAAAATACCAGAAAATCTGAACACAATACTCTTGGGGAAATGTAAGACTATGTCAAAAATAAATAACAATATAGCTTATTTAAGAACATGAAGAAGAAGTCAAGCAATTAGTTTTCACTTTCAACCCCAAA